ATATATAAAGCCCTGTGATGGGTGTGCTAAAGGGGGTGTGTGTGGCAGGTGGCCAGGGTGCTGGGTGGTGGGGGTGAGGAGGGAAAGGGTGGTGCCAGAGTCCAAGTTCATTCTCCTCAAGACCCTCATTGGCTCCTTACTGGTTTAGAAGGCACAACCCAAGCATAGCAAAGGTAAAGAACAATAAAAGATGTAAATAAAAGTTCAGTATAGTAGCGGCTGTCATAAGGCAAAGCACAGTTGTAACCAAATGAACGATTAGCAATTGCCATAAACTTTCTGAGGAGGAAGAGAGAATTATACTGTGCCTTTGTTAAGCATTAACTGTTTTCAGTGCTTTCCTGTGTATCTTTGGGGCGGTCATGAAAACTACATGGGAGAGGGGGCGGGTGGGCTCTGCATATGAGGAGCAGATAGGATTTGCACGTGCGCAGACCACCCTGGAGACATACAAGGTCCCTGCCCTCGAGGATCAGTCTACCTGGATGGAGATCTAGGGAGGGTGTGATGCTTGTGTGAATGGAGAATTGGAACAAGAGACCCTGAGTTCAAGGGAGAGCAATGTTCTGGATGTGCATGCGTTGGTAAGTGCATAAAGCATGCTCTCTAGTGAACTCTTCTTGCCTGTGAATAGGTTCATAAGCACTGGTGCAGAAGGATGGCCGGTCTGAGATCCCCTCGCTGTGTGGCATCAGGCAACTTGCTTAGTTTCTCTTGGCCTCAGTTTGCTTCTCTGTAAAATTAGGGAATAAATAACCTCTCTGGTCCCTACCAGTTGGGAAATTCTTAGGTTTTAAGCATCCTACAATTATGTTTTTGAAAAAATTAGATTTTCATGTATCAGTCTTTATGCATCTTTATTTTGGGTCCTCTTTCCTTTTATCCATTTGTGTGTGTATTTTTATGATTATATTTTGTCACCTGAGTTCACACAAGGTCCTTAAATTGGAGTCATCCTCAGTTCATAGATGGGGGTGGCAAAATAGGGGTCTACCGAGTCCTCTCCAGCATGACTATCTCCTTGAGCAGATGTTTTCAACACGGACCACCCAGTGTACCTACTATGTGCCAGGCGTGCTGGGGTATTGAATGAATGAAACAAAGTCTGGTCTCCAAGGAGCCTTCAGCTGGTCTCAATCATTTCTGGGGAGTGCCAGGCACATGTGGGGCAGGCACTCAGTATATGTGTGCAGAACAGCAAGGAATGCCTAAGGCACTGTTGGGGAAAAAAGAGGTCGAAATGTACCCAGGAAGAAGGAGAGCCTGTACCATTTTATACTTAAAGCCTCTTGGGCATACAGTCCCAGGAGAGAAAAGAGATTTCTTCCCACAGGTATAAATAACTTCTGCCCATTTAGTCCCCAGAGACCTTGGCACCATGGGTTAGGGTAAGGACTGGCATTTAGCTGCTCCCTTCGATTGAGGAATTTAAAAGCTTGGGGGGAGTTGGAAGCACTCCATTTGTGCTTCAAGATCCTGAATTTAGGCCCAGACAGGCATGTCTCAGCTATTGAGTATCGACCTAGGATCCAGGAGATCATGGTTTGGTTCCAGGTCAGGGCACATGCCTGGGTTGCGGGCTCAATCCCCAGTCGGGGGCGTGCAGGAGGCAGCCAATCAATGACTCTCTCATCATTGATGTTTCTATCTCTCTCTCCCTCTCCTTTCCTCTCTCTGAAGTCAATAAAGATATTTAAAAAAAA